TTTTTTTTTTTAATTTCCTGTTGGATTAAAGGTAAAGGAGATGGTTAAGGAAGCCTATTTCAAACTACAGTAGCAGTTTTTTTTTTTTTTTTTTTTTCCATTATCATCTTTGGCTGGGGATACTTGGCCTATTGGGGCATTTGAAAAGCATGGGAACGTTTTTAAATAAAATGTGAATACTTAGAAATTACTGCTGCCCACTGTCTGGTGAGAAATAGGTTGGACTAGGAGATGGCTGAGGTCCCTGCTGCTCTTTGCATTTCTGGAGTTCTGGCAGCCAGGTCAGCTGACTGGTTCACAGGAAAGGGGTGCTGGCCAAGCTGGCTTACCCTGCAGTGAACGCACTGGTACTTTTTAAAGTGAAGTGCTGAACACGCGGTGAGATTTCCCTGGGAGATCTCTCAGGGATGGTAAGTTTTAGTTAGAAATACGGTCAATGCTGGTTACACGCCCCTCATCTCTTCCCCTTTCAGGGAGTCCCTGGGTGGTACGAATGGTTAGTCGCTTGCCTAGAAAGCAAAAGGGTGGTGGTCCGCACACATCCCCCCCCCCCCCCCAGCCTCAGAAGAAAGGCCGGCGACGTGCTTCTGAAAAATCAGCCTGGGGCGTGTGCGTTGGCTCTGAGACACACGGCATCCCCACGAGTCACAGGTGACTGAGTGGCAACTCTTTTAGTTCCACTGAAACCCCTGGGGAGTGCACATCGGCTCTGAGATGCACGGCATCGCCGGGAGTCAAAACCGACTCAATAGCAACTCACTCACTTTCGTTCCCTTTAGAAGACCCTCTAAACCCAAACCATCTCCTGCCAAAAAGGCGTTCACTGTATCCTGATTCTTTTTCTAAACCAAATAAATCCAAGAATAGCCTTCTACAAACTGGCAAAGGTGTTTCATACTGTCCGCTGGTCGCTGGCTGGGGCTCTGAACGTTTTGTGACAATTACCGACATTACAGGACGTCTTCGCCATTTCATAAAGCTCACTCCTCCTAGTACCTTCAGCATCTCCACAGCAGGCCCCACAGGAGACTGGGAGGAACAGACACGCCCACGACAGCAAGGAGTGTTCTGTACACTGGCCACAGCGTTTATTGACATCACCACTCTAGAAAGCTGGGTTTCCTATTAGTCCGATTCCCCTAAGATCCCCTGTTGGTTACACTGAAATGGTCCCGTATATACAGTGAGGCCCGCCGCTTCAGAGAGGCAGCCAGGCCGCGGGGCTCGGTCAGTGGGCCCTTCTCTGCTGCCGACTCGTCGCCAGGCCTCGGCACTGTCTTCAGCATCCGCAGGCTGCCTCTCTCCCACTCCTTGAATTTCTTCGGTTTTAAAACAGGATTGGTGTTCCCTTATGATTACAAAAAAAAAAAAATTCCAGTGACTCTCACCCTCGGGGGAAATTTCTAAGAAAATCTTTCTGTTCTTTCCCCGTGAGCCTCTCGGAGAGGGTTAGTGCTAGTGGTGACCTTCGGAGAGGAAGGTGCGTCCGTGTGGCTGGTGAGGTGTAATCCAAAGCAAAAGCAGGTGTAAAAGTGGACTCTGACGAAGCTCCACCCCGTGTTCCTCCAGATTTTGCCATGGTGACTGAAAGCAGGGCCCGCCCTCAGGCCTCCTGGCTGGCAGTCTGGGTCTGCCTGCGACTGCACGGCTGCACATCTGCCGTGCGGTGCACATCGCTGTCCGGTCGCGAAGCCCCTCGGCTTGGGGGTCCATCTCCGGTGCTGCTTAGCCTTCCCAGCCTTCCCACAGCTGTCCCCTGCAGAAGACAGCACACTTGGGTTAGGACCTGACTGCTCCTGACCGGCTGCTCCTTCAGCCCTCCGGCTGAGTGAGTCGGGTCACGGAGCTGGCTGCTGAGGGGCTAGTCTGGCTTGCTCTGGGTTGCAGGTGCTCGCACGCTCTGTGACTGGCAAGCAGGGCATGGAGAGATCTGGACAGAGGAGTGGCTAAAGAGAATGTGAGCGGTGAGGATTCTGAGCCTTACTAATTTTATGGTCCTCTTAAAGCTGCAGTGGTGTACATAGAAAGAACCGTGTTAGAGCTGACATTGCAAATGGCAGCTCTCTGAGGGCGTCTGCTGCTTACTCACTGCTGTATCATCAGTTGCCAATAATGAAAGTTTTGAACGGACACATTTCTGCGTGCTCTCAGAGAGTCAGAATACCTGGCAGGCTGCATCTTGGTCCTGCGTGGGACGTGCTAGCAGCTTCCTTCAGACTAGCTGTGACTCCCAGGTGGCCACAGGCTCCACTCTGCCCCCTCCCTGCCCCTACCGGCACCGAGGTAACCAAAGCATGGACTTCTGGGAAACCACTGGATGAGGCCGCCCTGCTGCCGACGTTACGGACCAGATGGCACTTCATCTGCAGCCACAGCCTTCAGGACACCTGGCAGTTAGGCTAAACACTTCTCAACCTTGTAGTAACACCCTGACTCTACTAACACAGGTTATACAGAGAACAGCAGTGTGGCAGCCGAGGTGTTACCGACAACAGGAAACGTATTCCAGTCTCATTATGGGACAGTGAGGGAGCAGGTTAGGAATGACATGCACACGGAGAAGCCTGGAGGAACAAGCAGCCAGAGGCAGCTGTGTGAGTGTGTGAACAGGTTCCGCGACTCACAGTGATTTGGGAGCAGGTCTCTTCATTTCCGGCCACTTTCGACGCTGAAACTGCCTATGTTTTCAGGTGTCAAAAGGAGAATGAGCGTTAAACCATCACCAGGAAAGAAAGATACCCCCAAAGAGCCACACACAGGTCGTCTCCGCAGGTGACCCTACCACCAATGGGTGGTGACCAGACCCTTTGCTCAGGCTTTAAGCAAAACGGAATACCTGTATTGCTGGTAGCTCCCCCCATCTTTCAGTCCTAAATGAGAGAGAAATGAACAAAATCACAACAGACAGGTGAGGGCAAAAACGGCACGCGCAGTGACCACCCACCCCCACCCCCACCCAATACCTTACACGCTTTTAGTCACAATTCCATAGCAACAGTGTTCCCCAGTCAGAGTGGATGGAGTCAGGACTCCTCCTCCCCAGGGCCCCTAGGCTGCCTGTGGCCTCTGTCATCTCATCCACTTTAGGACTCTGATGGCACTCAGCACTGGCCCTAGTAGTGGTGGACACGGGCACTAACATGGAGACTTAGGACCGCAGGTGTTGGGGGGAGATCCCTGTGGCTGGGCTCAGGAAGGTTCCTAGAGGATTCGGCAGAGTGGTCAACTGCATGGGCTTTGGAGTCGGCCAGCCTGGTTCACTCATCTATAAACTGAGGACACTGGCCTCAGAGGGCTGTCCCAAGCATCGAGTAAGTTAACACATGTGAATCCCTCACACGGTGCCTGGGCCCAGGAAGTGCTCACCAATCTGTTGTACTTGGGATCGCCACAGGAGCACTCAAGAGGTGGGCGTTAGGAAGGTGAGTTTCCGCCATCAGCGGGAATTCCCAATGGGAGCGGCAGTCTTGGGGAACACTTTCTATAAATGCGCTTGTTCTCCCCTCTCGGGTAACCAGTGGTGACTACAGCATCAGGAGCCTTTCTTCTAAAATGCTTAACTGTTTTTCTGATGTGAAATACAGGTGCCTTAACAAAAGCTGGTAAAACTCCCAAGGGGCCTTCAAAGACCAGGGTTTATGGGCCATTCCGTCTGCAGTTTGTTGTCGCTAGGAAGTGAATGGTTTCCTTCTCTGTTTTTTCCATCTTAAAATCATCTAGTTGGTGTCCTAACTGGAAGACAGGACTCCCGACTGTGTCCGTCCTGCACAAAACCCAGGAGTCACCTGCGACTCTTAACTGGGTTCCTCCTTTACCCTGCCCCCATCACCGTGTTCTGTGGCTTCACGATCTAAAGCTCAAGTCATCCTTCACCGCTGCTCCTCACCCAGGCCACCATCGTCTCTCCCTGGGAGCTGTCACTCTGCATTCCCCACACGATCTGTCCTGCTCACTGGTCCTAGACATGGACACCTAGCAGCTGTTGAGTTGCTTCTGACTCAGTGACCCTATATGACAGTGACAGAACTGTCCCATAGGGTTTCCTAGGCTATAAACCTTTACGGGAGCACACTGCCAGGTCTTTTCTCCCGAGGAGCATCATGTGGGTTGGATCTGCCAACTTTTCAGTTAGCAGCCACTTGTTTAACCATTGCACTAACTACCAGAGCTCATTACTTAGCAACTAGAATGTTCTTTTTAAACGTATGTCGTTCCATTCCATAGGTTAAAATCTTCCATTGGCTTCTTGAAGCGCCTAAAATAAAGTCCTTACCCATTGCCCACAAAACCCTTTACAGGATGGACATCTGCCCACCCCACTGACGTCCCCTCCTGTCACGCTCTGTCACCCTCACTTGCTCTGACTGCAGCCATACTACTGGTTCTTTCTGCTCCTTAAACACACCTCAGCTCCCCTGGAATGCCAGCCTTCCACGCCCACACATGGTGGACTGTTTAATCTGCCAAGATCACTCAGATGGCACTTCCTGGAGGGGCCATCCCTCACCCCTGCTCCTCGCCCCCTCCCGCTCCGGCTGTATTACCCCATCCTATTTACTCCATACAGCAAGAGGCTCCCTAAGTATATAGGCTGCTGTCCCCACGAGATCAGGGGCTGTTCATCCTGTTCCTTTCCAGTAACCAGCACAGTCCCAGGTTTATGCTCTTAATGAACGTTTGCTGGATGGATAATGAATGAAATGGAGGAAAGTACAAAGGGAGAAACCTGTGTTTGCTGTGCAGAGGGTCCGGGCACGCCACTCTCTGCACAGGTGCCCCTCTCCCTGGGAGCACATCTCGCACAGGTGCTCCTCTCTGGGAGCACAGCTCTAGGCCACGTCACTGCCCAAGGTGGGCAGCGGCCCCCAGACCCTCCCAGGTGAGTGGTCTTTAACGGTATCATCCCCAGCTGCTGGGTCACACTTTGGGACACACCATGACATCCTAAGTTCCTAAGGAAACCCCCTGTTGCAGGCCACTCGCCCCCGTGGGAGTGCCAACTCACCCAGGTCCATGTTTCGGGTGCGGGGGTTACACTGCTTGTAGCCCTCGCAGCTCCTCAGCCCCAGGAGCTGCACGTGCAGCTGGTTGAGGAGCTCCCTGTCCAGTGTGTTCACCGCATTCATCAGCTGCTTGGAGAAAAGGCAGCTTGTTGACAAGGTGGTCACAGGGACCCCTCCGTCCTCTCCTGCAAACCAGGGGACTAGTCCCAGCTGGGCAGCGAGCACATGGCGCCCTGCTTGCCCACCTCCACTTCTAATAGCCAGAGTCTGGAACAGGACTGTGTTTTGGCTTCTAGCCTCACCAGGTCCCTTTCTGCGGGTGAATGGAAACCCAGGAGAATAGAAACCACCGGGGTGTGCCCAGCCACTGGATCCCAAGGCTTCTGTTGCCCAGCAGCCTTTACTCAGAGTTCTGCAGCCCCTGAGAAAGGAGTCTTGATGATGGGCTGGGTGGGCAACCTGGCTCCTGCCTAGTCTGAGGGCTACCAGTGACCAACTAACCCGCCACCTCCTGCTGTTAGTGCAGGGCTGAACTTGACCGAGGACGAAACCTGGCAGCTTCCTTGGTTATTTAAACAGTAAGTGGAAACGGATTTTTAGCTGCTGACATATAAGGATCAGACGCCATGGGAAAAAAAGACTTTAAGGCTTTTCTCAAACACTGGAAGAGTGTACAAACCCCAGGCCACACTCCTTAGACACACTACTGCTGCTCAGTAGTGACTGTAACACTCCACACTCAGCTGCTTCCACTGTGCGAGGCTCTGGGCCACTCCAGTTATTGACATGTTTTTTGTTGTTGTTGTGTGCCGTCGAGTCGGCCCCGACTCATAGCGACCCCTCCTTGGGTTTCCGAGGCACTATCACTACGGAAGTAGGATTGCCCAACCTTCCTTCCGAGGAGTGGCTGGTGGGTTTGAACCGCCAGCCGTCTGGTTAGCAGGCAAGTGTCTTAGCCACTATGCTACCAGAGCTCCCATTGACATGTTTAGATGGCAATAAATGGAAGCACTTGGGAAGACGCTATGGAAGTGTGAGTCAAGTGTACGTTGACTGCATGGTTCCTGCAAAGCCTTGTGGACCACTGGCATCTGCCCAGGAGAGTAGCCGGACAACACTGTCACCGACAAGGAAGATGGGGACAGAGGAGGGCGAACAGGATACTGAGTTGTCCTGTTGCCAGCGGCTTCATGACCGTCCTAGGGACTCGGTGTAAAGTGGGAAACATCCTCACCGGGAGCCTACCTGGTGGCTGCTGTGTGCTGCTCCCGGTCTCTCCCGCTTGCCTTGTCCCTGTACCCCCCTCCCCATTTCTCCCACTTGCCTTGTGCATACCTGGTAGGGGTCTGTGTTGAGATCAAAGTACTCCAGGAAGCCCGTTGCAAATTCACAGAAGAGGAAATTGTGAGTCTCGTTGATTGTGCGCATGCACCAGTACGTGTTGTTGTTGGCGCTGGTGCAGGCACAGAAAGGCCCCACTGCCAAGGGGTAAGAGAGAGGATGCCCTGCGTGCCGGCAGGAAGCAGCCCAGCTTCCCCACAAGACCCTCTGCGCCTGTGCCTCACATGCCCAGTGACTGGGGCATGTGCTGACCCTAACAGCAGCGGGCCTGCTCCTGTGGGACCTGCGGGGCTGGGCACAGGGCACGCACAGGATAGGAGCAAGCGGGAGGATCCTGGCCACTAGGTCTCTATGAGGCCTCTGAGACGCCCCTCTGGGCCCCGCCCCTCTGGGCCCCGCCCCTCTGGGCCCCGCCCCTCTGGGCCCCGCCCCTCTGGGCCCCGCCCCTCACGGGTCCAGAGCGGTGCGGTCTGCCAGTGCTGGTTGTCGTGCGTGAAGCACGTGAGGCCCGGCATGCTGCACGTGTCGTTGTTCTGCAGCCGCTTGAGCAGCTTGCGGAGTTTCTTCTTCCGCTTCTGTTCCCGCAGCAGCCACACCCTGTCCTTCTCCTGCAGACCTTTCCTATGGGCACACAGCCACAGCCGTCGTCGTCGTAGGCCCTCAGCCCCGCCTTGGAGCGCCCCCACCCCCACCCCGTTCGGGCATCAATTTAAAGTCTCTGAGCTGTGTAAATGGCTAAGCGCTGGACTAACGGAAAGATGGCGGTTCATAGCCACCCAGAGGCGCCTCGGGAGACAGGCCTGGTGCTCTGCCTCCAGAAAGTCACAGCCTTGAAAACCCTACGGAGCAGCTGTACTCTGCACACAGGAGCCACCGTGAGTCAGAATCGGCTTGACAGTGGCAACATTGGGGACCGGTGACCCTGCTGGTCCTGCCCCCTGGGGACTGGGACTTCAGGAACAGAAGAGTTGGGGAGCCTAACGACCGAGGGTCCCCACGGCGGTGCAAGGCAGAGCGAGTGCCAGAACGCGGTCTCCCATCCTCCCCACCCTGCTTGGCTCCCAGGTGGCAGAGAGGCAGGGGAGTCCGGGGCAACCTGGGGCACTGCCCCTGCCTGGCAAGGCTGCAGCAACCCGCTTTGGCCACGAGGGGGCGTCTGGAGCCCGCGGTTAACGTGGGAGGACCCGTCTTGGAGGGCCGCCAGGCTGCTCAGGGAGAGGCCCAGCCTTCTTTCCTTGTTTTAGCCTGAGGGGGGGGCAGCCTGGTCCCCTAGGCCTGGGGCTGCTGGGGTCCCGCTACCCCTTACCTGAAAGGATGCAGACTGGAGCCTCTGTGTTTGAGGCGGCCTTTGGGCTGCTGGTTGTGGTAACTGAAAGAGACCCCAGCCCCGGGCTCAGAAATGGCTCTCAGGGCAGGTTCTCTGTGGAGTTGCTGCCAACCCCCTCCGGCCTCCTGTCTCTCTGGTGGCGGGAGGGGAGGGCAGGGGTCCCAGGCCTGGCTGGCTCCCATGAGCTGGGGGAAGCCCTCAGGCCCTACTGGAGAAGGTGGGGAAGTGCAATCCAGTGAGGCTTAGCAGCTGGCCTGGCAGCGGGTGCCCCGGCCTCCCCAGGATGCCTCCACCCCACCTCACCGCTGTCCTGGCTCGGGCCAGCACCGGGGACCCATGTTTTCAAACCCTTTCTACCAGGTAGGAGAGCTTCACTGTCCACACACACATGTCCACTGCCACGTGGGGCTATTTCAATACAAACTTCCGTTGCTGAGTTACACGGGCCACCTCAAGTGCTCAGTGGCCATGTGTGGTTAGGGGCCACTGCGTGGGACAGCGCAGACCACTGCCACCGTCAGAGAGTTCCCTCCCCCAGCGCTGCTCCAGGGGGCGGTCCCTTGGGCCAGGAGTTCCCTGAGCTGCTGCATTGCCCCACAGGGGCACTCTAAGTGTCTGCGTCCTGTCAGCAGCGTGGGGATGTGGGTGGGCTCTGGCTGGGAACCCGAGGGCTTTTATAAATGTCCATGTGGCTAACAACAAGGATGGGAATTCTTAATCATTTTTTTCAGCTCTAGGGGAAGCGCTGGGGTGGGAAATGATGAAAGGGGTTGCCGTGGGGACCTGGTGTTCATGGGAACCGGCTGGGCCTGTGTGGCCACCTCACCTGAGCTTGTGACAGTCACATTCTTCCGGCCGCTTTTTCTTCAGGTGCCCTCGGACTTCCCTCAGGTTCTTAATCTTGTTCTGCAGGGTTTCGATCTGAGGGAGGGAGCAGAAGAGGGCATGGAACTGGCTGGAGACGAGGGCTGGCCTCATGGCCTGGCCCGGGCCTGGCCGGCTATGCACGCAGCCGCAGCCTGCAGTCCCCGGCTGATGCCACGGTCCCCAGGTGAGGACCCTGTGGGGACCCCTTAGCCTCTCTGGCTGCAGCAGAGCCCCTTTCCCAGGTCTGGCCTCACTGCCTCCTGGGGTGGATGGTAGGGCCCCCAAGCTCGTGGTAGCTGAGACGGTGTCCCCGGCCCACCCTGTGCTCACCTCGTGGTCTATGTGCAGCTTGTGGTCTTTCCAGGCCTGCAGACTCTTGTACAGGTCCAGGTCACACTGGACCGTGTCGTTCTCTAGGATGTAGCACCTGTTCGAGAGAGGGGTCATGTGTGGCCCCAAGGGACCAGAGGCGGAGCATCCTAGAGGCAAAACGCCTGCCAAGGCTCAGCTCCCCAGCCCTGCACCCCTGCCCTGGGTTGGGCTCTCACCGGTGTGTTACTTTAATGGGGTTTGGGGCTGAGTACTCCGGAAGGTCTCCTGTACCACTGAAATCTCCACCGTCTTTGTCATCTTGGTCTTCAGGGGCCCCCGGCCAGTGCCGCTTGGTAAGGTTGTGGGGCTGGGGCGTGTCCTCCAGGCCCACGTGGTATACCTCGCCATCCAACTCAACGGCCACTGAGCGGATGGAGCGCTTACGGACGTAGCCGGCCTTGTACTCTGGGGACATCAGAGCGGGTGGCTGGGGTGAGGAAGGCTGGGAAGGGCTGGGCAGGCTCCCTAGCCCTGTAATCACCACATGGCCCATGAGCTCCAAGCATGGCTCAGTGTTGCCTGTCACTTGAGGGCTCATGCAATCTACCTCCCCATGACCAGCTTCTGGACCACAGTGGGGTTAAACTGGGGGAAACATAAGTCCTCGAGCTCAGAAGGAATGGCCTGACATCATCTCGAGAAAGAGCTATGCCTGGGTCAACAGACTGTGGTCTATCTATCCACACAGTGGAACATTAAACCACACCCCCACTGCCCTCCAGCCGACTCCGACGCACGGTGACCCCATGTAGTGCAGGGGAGAAATGCACTCCATCAGGTTTTCACGGCTGCCATCTTTCTTCTGAGTCCTCTGGGTGGGTTTTCAAGGTCGTTAATCTTTACAGAAGCAGCATGTTATGTCTTTCTCCCATGGAGTGGCTGTGGGTTCAAACCACTGACCTTTTGGTTAGCAGCCTAGTTCTTTTAACCACTGTGCCACCAGGGCTCCTGTTGTAGGGGTACTTTCACTGCCACCAAGTCGGATCCAACTCATTCACAGTGACCCCTCCCTGGGTTTTTGAGGCAGTATCACTACAGAAATAGATTGCCCAACCATGCAAATATGGTGTCTGGACCCTAATGAAGGGATTGGTCAGCTTTGCCATCTGCTTGGCTTAAAATGAGCCACCCCAGAGATGGAAGGTGGTGTGGTGGGGAATCTCACTTCCACCAAGGAGGAGAGATGGGACTGGGTCCTCTGGACCCAGGGTCCCTGTGCTGAGAACCTCCTAGACCCAGGAGCCACAGAAGAGAGAACTGTAACGCCAGAGACAGCAGCAGAGACCGAGCAGCTGAACCAGGGGACCAGCGTGAGATGGGGCCCTGAAGCAAGGCAGTTACCGTGGGCGTGCTGACCCACGGAGCAAGCGCACTGAGCACCTGCAGGCAGGACACTCACCTCAGCGTGGAGCTGGGCTTGCCAGTCCACGGAGCAAGAGAGCTGACGGCCCTCGGGCCGAGGCTTACTGCTGGGTGGAGTGGCCCCAGACGCTGCTGGCCGAGCTAAGGGGCTTTGTAACACTTGCTCAAGCAGGGCAGGGGCTAGGCCTGACGGAAGGCCAAAGGCAGGGAGAGCCCGCCTGTGGCCACAGCTGAGAAGAGGCTGTCCTGACCGAAGAACTGTGTCCTGAGTCCTGATCCTGGCTCGTAACCTGTTATTTCTCTAACAAACCCTGTAACCGTGAGTGTGGTCTGTGAGTTCTGTGTGGCCTAGCAGAGAGGTGGAGAGTGCTGTGAGGGACAGCTAGTGTGGGAACCAGGGATCAGCCTTGGCGAGTTTATACTGACAGTGGTTCTCCTCTTCCCTGTGTGAGGGCAGACTGGAGGTCTGACATGCCCCCCGCCATTTTAGTGCCGCCTAAAGGGGGTTCCTGCCGTCCTCCTTTGTCTTCAACCTGTTTTAAACCAAATTTGATTCCGTTGCTACTATTTAAGGAGCTCTGATGGTGCAGTGCCTAACCTGAAGGTCAGCGGTTCAAACCCACCAGCCGCTCCGCAGAAGGAAGACTGGGCAGTCTACTTCCGTAAAGATTCACTGTCTTGGAAACCCAAAGGAGGCTGCTATGAGTCAGAACTGACTTGATGGCAGTGTGTTTGGGTTTTTGGTTTGCTAACAGTTAGGAACAATGGGGGTGGGTGACAGTTTCATGCTGGATCCAGATTTCTCTAACAAAATGGAAATGGAAGCGGTGCCTACACTGAGTGTCAGGTGGTAAGGACGGGCCGGTGCTGAGGGGCCGAGTCCTTTAGAAAACCCAGTCCCAGTCCTGTCACGGTGACACCGGTGTGTCCAAGCAGAGGGTTTCTTTCTCTTTAATGATTCGTGCGTGTGTGTGTGTGTGTGTTTGGTGAAGGCTCACACAGCAGTGTGGGTTCCCAGGCCACAGCTTCCACACATCCTGCTCACGTCATTGGTTATTTTCTTCCCAATGCGGGAACATTCTCAGTATCTCCGCTCTGCCGGTTCTGTTTCCATGAACGGAGCTCTCTGGGCCCCTCCCATTCTCATCTCTGTTTTAAAGTCACTGAGGACTTTGGTCTCATAGAGTGATTTTTTAAAGGAGCACATAGTAAAATCCGTTATTTCGTGAGCCAACCTGTTCCTTAGCTGCAAGGTGACCCAGGGACTAGTTCTGGTTCCAGGTCCGAGGAGTGCCTCAGGGTGACAGTCTCAGGAGTCCTCTAGCCTCAACCAGTCTGGCGGGTCTGTTTCGCCTTTAGGAATCTGAGGCTCTGTTCCACATTTCCCCCATTCTCTCAGGGTCCTTCTCTCGTGGCCCTGGTTAGAACGGCCAGAGTTCTTCTGGTCGCAGGGTGGATGAGGTTTGTATAGACTTTTGTCCTGCTGTCTGATTTCCTCTTTGGGTTTTTGGCCACAGGGTTCTCAGTGCTGGTTTCTGGACTTGCTGGGCCCTCCTTCCAAGGTGCCTCTGGGTACACGAAGCTCTGAACTTCTGGGTAGCGGCTGAGTGCCTTAACCATCGCACCACCTGGAGACTCCTCCTTTAACCAGGGTGATGTATTTTCCTGTCTGCCACAGTCCCCACCAAAAACAAACAAAAAACACAAAAAACCAAACTCACTGCCGTTGAGTCGAATCTGACTCATAGCAGCCCCTCCTTGGATTTCTGAGGCGGTCTCTCTATGGAAGTAGATTGTTCCATCTTCCTTCCGAGGAGTGGCTGGTGGGTTTGAACCGGCAGCCTTCTGGGCGGCAGTCAAGTGCCTTTGGCACTACGCTACCAGAGCTCCTTACCACTTCTTTTTCAACAACTCTTCCCGCTTTCTCGTGTGTGGCCTCGGCATGCATCTGAGCGTGCCATCCTGCTCAAGGGGCGCACCTTTGTTTATAGAGAAGCGCCTGGGGTCAGCATGGACTTAGGTTTCTGTTGGGCCTCAAATGACCACTAGATGGCAGCCAAGGCCTTAGGATTGGTTGGAGGCGGGTGCTGGTGGCGCCACCTTAGGAGGAAGGAGAAGGGCGGCTCCACGACCTCGTCCTGCTGCCCCAGCTCCTGGGCAGCCTTTGTGTGCCTTTCGGTTTTCAGTCTCGCTGTACGAGAGTCATGGGGGCCTGGAGGCCTGTCTGCGAGGGCAGCCCTCTCAGTGGCTTTGCTTCCTCACAGAGTGCAGCCTCCCTGCAGCCCCAGCCCCTTGGGCTCCCTGACGCCGGGCAGGCTGAGAAAACCTCCCAATGCTGGGCACGTGGACCTGCCCGGAGCGCCAGCAAAGTTTCCTGCCCTGTTCTTTTCCTTCTATTGTCTCAGCTGCAACAGAGGTAGCTGCTTGGCATCCTGGCTCCACCCTGCATCTCCCAGTTATAAATTGTTGTTGTTCTGTGCCGTTGAGTCAGACCTGACTCATAGCAACCCCTCCTTGGGTTTCCAAGGTGGTATCACTATGGAAGTAGATTGTCCCATCTTCCTCCCGAGGAGTGGCTAGTGGGTTTGAACCGCCAGCCTTCTGGTTAGCAAATGCCTTAAGCACTACACTACCAGAGCTCCCTGGTGACTGGGTAGAAATATGCAAATGTAAGGTGCTTGTGGTCTACCCAGGGGAATGGATAGCTTGTCAGTAATGTAAACAAGGGAGATGAACCCTTATGGGGTGACTACTAAACTAAACTCACTGCCACTAAGTCGGATCTGACTCACAGTGACCCCTCCTTGGGTTTCTGAGGTGGTATCACTATGGAAGTAAATTGCCTAGTCTTCCTTCCAAGGAGTGGCTGGTGGGGCCCCTGCCTGCTTTTGTAAGGTTTCCCTGGAAGTTGGCCCTGCCCATTTTTCTCTTTGTTCAGTGGGGAAAGTGCTCTGCTGCTAACCAACAGGTCAGAGGTTTGAACCCACCCAGCGGCTCTGTGGAATAAAGGCCTAGTGGTCTGCTCCTAGGAAGGTTCCAAACCAAGACCAAACCCCCTGCCATCGAGTTGACTCCAACTCACAGCGACCCCACTGGGTCTCCAGGGTGGTAAACTTTTACAGGTGCAGACTACCCCATCTTCCTTCCACTGAGCAGCTGGTGGGTTTGAACCACCAACCCTTCTGGTTAGCAGTCACAAGCCTTAGGCACCACACCACCAAGGAAACCCCGTGGAGCAGTGCCACTGTCACATGGGGTTGCTGTAAGGGGACCAGCACCCATACCACCACCACCAACTGCCTTCTCCCCCAAGGCACACCCTGTGGGCCACCAAGCCCAACATTCACTGCAGGAGACACTGGCCAGTGCCTACACAACCCTCTCCTGAAGCCACGCCACACCCCTGGCTGTCACCCTTGCTGTCTTCGTTTCCAGGTCCGGGAGGTTCCCTCCCTGCCATATGTTCTAAAGGGGGGGTGCGGTGTGCACTCGGAAGCCAGAGTCCCCGAGCTCAGGCCAGGACCAGGTGCTTGGCTTCCAATGTGACCACGCAGTGCCCACGGGCAGTGTCAGTAGCCCCCGAACGGCTGTGTTCCTAGGCAGCGCTACTGCTGCAGCCGCGGGGGCCTCGGTGTCCCCCAGGCCTGGAAAGCTCCCGGAGACAGCTCTCACCGCCAGCCACAGCTGCCGCATCTCTGCGGCCGGGACTCGCCACCCTTGTTTCTTGCCACTGGGCTTCTGAGCTGCCCGGCCCGCCTACGTGGAGTGTGCGTGCTCTGGCTGGTCACAGGCCTGCTGCATCCTCAGCGCTGTCGCCATTCAGGGCCAGTCATTCTCTGTCGTGGAGCTGTGCTGTGCTGTGCACACTGCAGGATACTTCGCAGCATCTCTGGTCTCTTCCCACTAGATGCCAGTAGAACCAGCTGTGACAACCAGAAATGTCTCCAGACATTGTCAGATGTCCCCAGGGCCAGCAGGGCAAAACCGCCCCTGGCATAAAACCCTACTCTGGGCTGTCTGGTCAGCAGGTCCTTGCAGGAAGAAAGCAGCAGGGTCAGGAGATGGGGCTGGAGTCCCCACACTGGCTGTGTGACCCGTCTTTCCCCTTTGCTACAAAGACAGGACAGTTCCTGCCTCGTCCTGCAGAGTTGCTGTGACATGGCTTTGGTGTTACGATGTCCTCATGTGAGGACTTACTACCACAACTGAGCTGAGTTTCCTGCTATTTAGGTGCGACTTTTCATTCTGGTGTTATCAGGCAAAAAGAAAAAAAAAAAAGCTTAATTGAGTTGCAAGTTCTTTGTTATTTAAAGATTATCTGGTGTACCACGTATCAAAGCGGAGATGTCAGCCGTATAATTCAATCTGGGAACTGATAATTTCACTAAAAAAATCAGCTTAGTAGTTACTCATCAGCTGGTGAGGAAGGATAATGTGGGCGGATCAGCTGGAAAGCTTTGGTGGCAGCAGGAGGCAGGCCAACGCGGGGAGGGACTCACTGGTTCTGTAAGAAGGTGTTCCCGGCTGGGGCTGGAGAGGCCAGGGGACACTGAGGAGCCATCCAACTGCCCCTTAACATCAAAGGGTCTAAGTAGCCTTGGGGGTCAGGGTCCTGGGGTGGCACGAACGGCTTGTGCTTGGCTCCTGACCTAAGGGTTGGCAGTTCGAACTCACCCAGCCGTGTTACGAAAGACAGACAGACAGGTGATCTGTTCCAGAAAGATTTCAGCCCAGATCTGGAGTCAGTATGAGTCGGACCTGACTGGATGGGCCTGGCATCCGGGGACTAGGGAAATAGGCAGCAGAGGACACTGCCCAGCTCAGGATGGGACACTTGCAGCAGGTCTTACCAAGATCAAGTCCTTGTGCCCAGCAGCCCTCCCAGCTCGGCTGTTACTCTTATCCCCTAACTGGTCCTTGTTCCCATGACTGACCCCACCCAAATCCACGTCCTATTTAACAATCAAAGTGACTATTTTAAAAAAATATAACTCAGATTAAACAATTGCTTCCAGTAGTTTTCTATTGCCCTCTCCGGAGAGACAAAAGCCCCAGTGCTCCCCTGCCCTAACGGCCCCCAGATAGCCTGGCCCCCACCTTCCTCTCCACTCCCCACCTCACTTCCTTTCTCTGTTCAGTGACCCTGCCCAGGTCTCCCCTGCCTCTTTGGTGCATGCTGTTCCCTTAGCCAAGGAGCTCTGGTGACACAGTGCCTAAGGCATTTGACTGCTAACCAGAAGGCTGGCGGTTCAAATCCATCAGCCTCTCTGCAGAAGGAAGACTGGTCAATAAACTGCTGTAAAGATTTACCGCCTCAGAAACCCAAAGGTGATCGCTATAAAGATTTACCGCCTCAGAAACCCAAAGGTGATTGCTATAAAGATTTACTGCCTCAGAAACCCAAAGGTGATCGCTATGAGTGGGAATCAACTCCATGGCAGTGAGTTTGGTTTGGTTTGGTTCTCTCAGCCTAGAACTGTCCTCAGATCTGCACTTCTTTTGGCTCAAGGCAGGCTGCACCATCTCAGGGTGACCTTTCCTCCCGCCTCCCATGATGCTGTTACTACCCGTCACAAGGTATTCCTGCCTGGTCCTCCGTCCCACTGCTGCTGCTGCTGCAGATCATCCTGCCGCTTGATACTGCCCTGCCCCACTCGAGTGAATGGGGCAAGCGGCTGTTTGCCGTGTCCCCGCCACATCTTAGAACTTTCTAGCACAATCCCCGGCACTGGCAAGTACGCATTGGTGGGACTGCCTGGCTGCACGAACAGAATAAGGGCGCCCCCCTCGCTCCTCCCGCCCCGCCCCCTCGCTCCTCCCGCCCCGCCCCCTCGCTCCTCCCGCCCCGCCCCCTCGCTTCTCCTACCCCGCCTCAGCCAGCTGCAGCACTTACTCTTCTTGAAGAACTTTTTCCGGCGCCCGGCCAGGCTGAGCGTGTAGGCCACGCGGTCGCAGGCGCACCCCTCGCTGCCTGGCCCGTAGTACTTGGGCACCAGGTTGGAGAGCGCGCCGCCGCCGCCGAACCGCACAGGGCCTTTGCACTTGTGCAGCTTGAGCTTTCCCGTGGCGTCCTCCACGCACTGCCACTTCTGCAAGACACGCGCATGCGCGGGCGCGGCTCCAGAAACCAAGGCCGTGGTGGCCCGCCGGCCACCCCACCGCCACGCCGCCTGAGGCAGGCCCGGGGTCTCCCTCTCACCCCGCAGCGGACAGCATAGAGTCCTGCGGCCTCTAGTTCCCAACGTGTCTAATGCCCTCGTTGCCACTGTTCCCAGTCCGGGTGCAGTGACCATGCGCTCTCCACACGGTGCCCTCGGCAGCCTCACCCCTGCTTCCATCTCTTCCCCAAACGCCTTACACACAGCTGCTGCTGCTGGTGGTAGCTCTCAACTCGGCCTCATTCACAGCGACACAACGGTATGAAACTGCCCAGGCCTGCATCCCAGTGGGAATGTGGGTCAGGCCAGTGTGAGCCATGGGGCTTTTTAAATTGTATATTTGGTGAAAATACACACAACAAAATCAACTCCTTTCCACGGTTCCCAGACATCATCAGTGACGCCGGCCGCACTGCCCACTTTGTGTCACCTTTGTCGGTATTTGTTTCGGTGGTTTCACTCCCGTGGACTTATATCGCCCTGCGCCCACCTTCCCATCCGTGGTTTAACATGGCGGCCGACCCTCTGCTCTTCCAGGGATAACAGTTTTTTAAGGTAAGGCAATACTCTAGGTGAGAATCTTCACTCGTTGGGCTAAACTGTTACTTAGTTTAACGGTGACTTCAGGGGATAGTTTCAATTGAGGGTTTGAACAGTAACTCAGGGCATAGTCCGGGGACTCCTGCAGCCTCAACAGACCCAGCAGGTCTGATTCCTTAAGAATTTAAAGGTCTGCTCCCCGTTCTCCTTTTCGGGAGTCACTGTGTTCTATCTGTTGGGCTTTCGCTGGTTGGTTATCAGAAGTATGTCCCCAGGCCTTTCCTCCTCAGTCTGGAAGCTCTGCTGAACCTGCTCAACATCCCAGGGACACGAGAGCCTCCAGGGACAGATGGGTGGAGGCCGCACACAAGGTGCACCGGCCGGGAATCGAACCCCGGTCTCCCGCATGGAAGCGGAGAAGTCTAATACTGAGCTGCCACTGCGCAGTACAGCAAAGGTGCTGCCTGATGGCCGAGTGTGAGCCCCAGGCCCGGGAGGCCCCACAGGAGAAGCACTGGAGCCAGGCGGGGCCTTCCTGGGAGGCACAGCGTGACTGCGGACATGGCCACGCATATTTAAAGGGCAGCTTGGTGAGAGCGCCCTTGCACACTGTCCCACCAAGGGGCAGCCATCTGGGGCTGGGAGGCCTGAGAGCCGGAAGTCCCGGGCCAGGACTCGTACCCAATGCCACCTTCACATACTCCCCCTTTGGTGGATACCTTCCCCTCCTGCCAAAGCGGGTATCTGGCTGCCCCGCCTTCACAGGGGCAGGGGCCTGAAGTGTGACAAAGTCCGTGTCGCCCCCCCTCCCGGGGGTCTCGTTACCAACCCCAGGCTGGGCAGGGTTTCTATCGAACGTGCTCATGGCTACAGCGCCCCCGCCTCCACTATTAACACGGAAGTGGCCACCCTCAGCTCTCGCGCACAAGCGTGCTTCCGAAACCGAGAATCTTCCGGCCGCGCCAGGCTCGGCTCGCCCCACCTCCCACACCCCTCGCTCATCAGCTCTGCCCTCCCCTTGCCTCTCCCGGGCCCACCTCAGCCTTCCCGGCCCCCGAAATCCTGGTTCAGGGTCTCACAGACATCAACCCAGGAACCTGCCCCCCTGAAGAGTACCCAGATCATTATCGCCCTACTACTTCTCTTCAAATCAATCCACTTTTTAAAACTTCTTTTTATGAATTAAGAAAGGCAGTTGCCCATCATTCCTGTAAATGGAAAACCAGCCCCAAAGAAGTTACTGTAGACGTGAACACCATGAAAACACAGATGTTGAACCTGGTGGCTGCCTGCCGGGGGGCTTTCAACAACAAGCCTGCTCGCTCTTTGTTAAAAAGGGACCCGCAGGGCTGAGCAAGGGCTAAAGACGAGCTCGCGCCCACACAAGACCTCCGGCTCTGACACCATCGGGTTGGAAGGGAGCTGGAAGGCTTGAAGTTCTCATGAGGTGGTCCCTGCGGTCCACCCTGGCACCGGGGGTGTGCCACACAGCTGCCCTCCGCCTGCCTGGGCTCAGAGGCCTGCTCGGCGGAGGGCAGCCTGGGGCACGCAGAGCAGGGAGGGGATGGTCCGGGCCAAGGCCGCGTCACTCCTCACCTGGCCCAGCTGCTCACAGGCCGTCTGGTACTCGGCGCGCTGACACAGGTCTTTCACACGCTGGTACTTGGGCAGGAAGTTCTCTTCCTGGGCATCCACTTTGTCAGCACTGTCTCTTTTGTGGAGCAGTTTGCTGTGGGCAAAGAGTGGAGAGGTGGGGCTGGCCTTGCGGCAACCGTGCCTTGTACCCCAAGGTGAGGTCGGCTAAGGACTCTGGTCCCCCTGTCCTGCTCCCTCTGGTTCTCTGTGGCCCTGGTGGGTGTGGGGCAGACTCTGTACCACTCAGTGCCTGGCCCCCGGGCCTCCCCAGACTCGCCATGGTGACCTCCAGCCCGTGGCTAAACACCCACCATCTGCTGCGACGGCAACCTTCCTTGTCCCCCAGGCCCTCTGCCAACGTCTAATCATGTCCATCCCATGCTGAGTGGATCTCGCTACCCACCCGCCCTGGTTCTGTCCAGTCGCCTCTGACTCGTGGTGGCCCCGTGTGATCAGAGTCGAGCTGTACTCCACAGTGTTTTCACAGCTGATGTTTTAGGAGCGGATTGGCAGACCTTTTTCTGAGGTGCCTCTAACCGCCAACCTTTCAGTGTTGAGCACCTGAACTGTTTATACCACCCAAGGACCCCCAGTCACGACACCAGGACGACACAAACCTAACGCTTCTAGGCCCGAGCTTTGGCCCGCCTCCGGCTGCTCACCATCGTCCCCGCCTGCAGCGAATGGCAACCGCACCTTCCCCTTCCTTCCCCTCCACCTTGTCCGTCAGCAAGTCCCGTTGGCTCTTCCCTCCAAATGGATCCAGAATCGGACACTCACCCTCGCCTTGGCCACTGCCCGGTCCACCCTGACTGGACTACTGCACTAGCCTTCTCACTGGTGTCCCTGCCACCGCCTCTGCGCCTCCCGGAGTCTTTCTCACAGCAGCCCCAGGGACACACATGCCTGTCGATGTCACTCCTGCCACTACCTTCCAGTGGTCCCACCTGTGCAGGGGCTTGTGCAGAGACCCTGCCGACCTGCAGGGCCTCACTCAGCCGGCCCTGGGCCTCCTGGCTGCCCTTCCTCTCCCCACCGTTCACGCCCTCCAGCCACACTGGCCCCTGGGAGCCAGAACAAGCCAGGAAGGCGCACTGCCGCCTGGGCCTTTGCGCTGCCCGTTCCTTCTGCACAGACACTTTTCCTTACTGCCCTCAGGCCTCTCTCAAATGTCGCTCTCCCAGTGAAACCAAACCCCGAGCCTGTTGTGTTGAGTCACCTCCGACTCATGGGAACCCCAGGTGTCACAGAGTAGAACCGCTCCGTGGGGTTTTCCTGGGGTGATCTTACAGACACGGGTCACCAGGCTTTTCTTCCGTGGGTCTGAACGGCCAACCTTTAGGTGGTTGTTGGGTGAGTGAACCACCAACCTTTCGGTTCACAGCCAAGTGCTTAACTGCTGTGCCACCAGAGCTCCATTAACCTTTAGGTGGTGGTTGTTATGTGCTGTGGAGTCGGCCCCGACTCACAGCGACCCCTCCTTGGGTTTCCGAGGCGGTATCACTACGGAAGTAGATTGCCCAACCTTCCTTCCCGGGAGTGGCTGGTGGGTTTGAACCGCCAGCCTTCTGGTTAGCAGTCAAGTGCCTTAGGCACTACGCCACCAGAGCTCCCAACCTTTAGGTTAGTAGGGGGCAAAGCATTTGCCACCCCCACCCTGGGGACCTTACCCTCTCAATGACGTCTCTTATTTAAAATTGGACCGCCCCCCCCTCCACACTCCCTGCCCCATTTCTGACCTTGACTCCACAGCGCTTGGGCCTACACCATCCTATACATTTTTCATGCTTATTTGTTTACTGTCATTCGTCACTCAAACACAGACTCCACTGGGGCCCTGACTTTGGTCTGTTTTGCTCTTTGCTGTCTTTTCAGGGCCTAGAATGTTCCTGGCACACGAGACACAATAAATACCTGTAGGATGGAGGCATGCACGCAGGAGTGACTGATGATTCCTCACTCTCTGTGCCCAGTTGCTCGGGGCTCAGGGCAGCCACTGGGGACGGCAGGAAACCCTGCCCCAAGGCCAGGGCAGGCAGGCCCCTCTGCCTTGGGGCCTCAGGCGCACCCCTGCTGCCTGCCCTGGGGCTGCCGGGCGGTTCTGGGCTGGGCGCTTGAGTGCTGCTCGGCTCTCCTGATGCTGGGGACCTGGCACTTGGGAAGGTGACCCCCATCCTGGTACTTACCCTCTCTCCACCAGGAAGGAGTCCCGCCAGACCCGCATCTTCTTTTTCAAATGGAACCTGGAAGAAAGCACAGCTCTAGCTCGCCAGCCACGTGGGGGCTGCGCACGCTCCCCATCCCCCGGGACAGTGACAGCCTCAGCCCACAACCAGCACAGGTGGCAGGCGTGTGGCGCTGGCCCAGCTGGGCACTGGAAGGCTTTCACGAACACCCACATCCAGACATTCAGAGTGGAGCTGCCTCTTCCCGACAGGCTGGGGTTCACGGCATGCTGGGGCGTTAGCACCGTCCCATGGGCCCCCAACTCGCAGGGCCCCTTGCATGATAGGATCAGACCGCTGGGATCCATCGTGTTGGTCACGGACTGGTCTTCCCCAGGGAGCGGCCAGGCCCTTGCTCCTGGTCTTAGTCGGAAGCTCCCCTGAAAGCTGTCCAGCGTCCCAGCCGCACACACACCTCCAGTGACACGTGGCGGGGGGCTGTGCATGGGGGGTACTGGTCGGGGATCCAACCCAGGCCTCCCTCACGGAATTTCACCACTAAACCACCACTGCCCTCTTAAAGACATAACCAAACCGGTTGTCGTGGAGTTGACTTCAACTCATAAGGACCCATGTCTGTAGGAGCAGAACTGCTCGTTAGAATTTTCAGTGGGTCATTTTATGGGCAGGTCACCAGGGCTTTCTTCCAAGGCGCCTCTGGGTGGATGTGAGCTTTGAATCAGCAGCTGAGCACACCCAGAATCTCCTTGTGAAGGCTCAGGGAGCAGAAATTACGTGGGTCCTAGCCACGCACACAGATGCGTGTGTGGATGGCTGTGTCTCCTGGGAAGCCGGAAGACCCCTGCCCCCACTTTTAGCTAGGCGCCAGATGAAGTGGTTGTCTTGCCTCCAGCCTAATTACTTGTTTTTTTTTTTTTTTGGAGTCTTCTTCTCGGATCCCTCATGGCAGGATTTGGGTAATTTCAGTGTGCATGCCATGTGATTCGATGTCACTTCTGTGTCCCAGATGGGGACTGAGGCCTGGAGAAGGAGTGTCTGTCCTCTCCCCACCCCCACTCCTCCAACATGGCCACTTTATACCCTGCCACCTCACAAAGCCTCACCATCGGAGGGAGACGGTTAAAGGGAGGTAGTTCCCTACGGGGTAGCCAGAAGGGGACCGCCAATGCCATCAAGGCCGCGTCCCCTGGGAGCCACACAGGACGCGTGGGAGGTGAGGAGGTGCTCGCTGGGGGCTGAAGAGTCAGTGCTTTGTGCCATGAACCTGGTGGGCAGTTCCAACACTGGCCAGTAGATGTCGCTCCCAGCACACCAGTGGCTGGCTCTCCAGCCACTGCTCCGCCCAGACTCAGCTCACCTTCCCACCTGTCTCTATTTTGATCACCTTTGGCTTCCCCTTCTGCCTCCCAGGACCCCTAGGAATATGTTCTCATTGGATCGTCCAGCATTAAAGCCATAGAGCATGGCAAATCATTGTGTAGCCTCTAGTCTAGAGTCTACCGGGATCACATCCAGACCGTGTGGCTTCTGGCAAGTCACTTAACATTTCTGGGACTCAGTTTATTTCAAGCTTCACACAGTGTTAGCTCCGGGAGGGTCCTCAGCTGGTCACTGGGCCATATTCCAGATGGAAGATGGAGCCTTGGAGAGAGGAGCGCCCTTTTCACCCCCTCTCTCCCATGGCAGGTAAGTGGTTTGAACAGGGGTAGGAGAACCTAGGGCCCAGCTCCTGACTCTCGGAGGCCCTGCCCTCCCAGCTCCGTGAGGTCTGGCGGGGAGTCCATGCAGGTCAGGAGCCTTGGCCCTGTCCCTGCAGCCTCGCTTGCCCCCCTCCTCACCGGTTCACCGGCCGCTCTGTGTCCAGCAGCTTGAGGATGGACTTCCCGTCCATGTCCGTGGGGATGTCCAGGCCTGCGATGTCCAGGATGGTGGGAGCCAGGTCAATGTTGAGGACGATATGGGGGTTCCTGGGGAGGAAGGGCAGGGACTCGGTCACCTGAGTGGTGATGCCCGGGAGAGGGGAAGGAGGTCCCAGGCTGAGGCTCTGAGTGGGGGTGCTGCGGGGGGTGGGGGGGGAGGTGTGTCTCCTGCACCCTAACCCTCGATGGCTCCCCTCTGCAGCCCAGGCTCACCCCCTTACTCTCTGTGCTCTCCAGCCACACCGCAAGGTGCTGGTAACCTGGCCTTGCCCTTTCCTCCCTCCTGCCCTCTGCTTGGCTGTCCCTTCTGCCAGGAAAGCCCTCCCTGTGCACCATGACCTGAGCCTACTTGGTACCAGGTACCTACCTGGACCCCCACCTGGACTCTCCCCTAGACTCTGCCCTGAACCTCCGAGCAAACCTCGTCCCTTTGCTCTTACTCATCACGCTGCCCCAGTCCTGCCCTGGGGCCTTCGTCACTGTCTGCTCTGCTGGTAGTGTTCTTCCTCCAGGCTCAGTGTAGCACCTGCCTCCCCGCTTTATTTCTCTGCTTGATTATTACCAAAAAGGCCTGGGGCAGACAGGCTCTAAGTAGATGCTGGCTCTGGCCCCCATCTCCTGCTGTTCACACCTTGTGCGAGATCCCCTGCCCAGTGCAGACTCGACCTAGATTTGCATATGGCAAAGTTGGTGGCTGTTCCTCCCATGATGATGGGAATCAGCCTCTGGGCTGCTGCTCACACTGTTGTTTGATTTCCTAAATGGGAGCTGAAAGTTGCAGCTGTTGACCTTGCCACCACAATAGAAACACCTGCCTGGGAAGGAAGCCAATTCAGAAAAAACAGGGTTAAGAAATGGGAACTGAGAGATTCCTGATGTCATAGTCTGACTGCTGGATCCAGCTATGCCTGAAGCCAGCATATCTTTGGACTTTGCCTTTACTTTGGTTAACGCATTCCTTTTCTTTTATTTGCCTAATCCAGTCTGAGGGTCATTTCTGCTTGCAACTGAAGTTGTCCGAGCTGACAAATGTCTCTTCAGCCCCTAAAACTGACACTATTAGAACCCTCTCTCCCTTATCTATCTAGGGGTGTGGTTTGGGGTCCTATGAACCAGATCACACATTCCAAGGCTGACCCAATATCGTGCTGGACGAGCCTTCCACCAATTAACCTGCCCCCTGCTGACGAGCTACTCTGACTCAGGGAGACCCCGCGTCTTTCGGGGTAGAACTGTACTCGGTAGAGTTTTCAATGGCCGACTTATTCCAAGTAGTTCACTAAGACCTCCTTCCAAGGTGGCTCTGGGTGCTCTCATCTTTAAGTTAGCAGCTGAGCATGTTAACCATCTGTGCCACTGAGGACCTCCCGACGAGTCCTCTGTGGCTATTAGGTCAAATCCTCTTTGTGCAGGGGCGGCTCATGGCGTCAGAGAGGCAGTGGGGCATGGTGGGTAGGCGCAGACACTGCGTGGCTTCAAACCCCAAGCTCCTTCCTTTACTTGCTGTGCAACCTCAAGCAACTTAACCTCTCTGTGCCTCAGTCTCCTTAAGTGTAAAACAGGGCTTCAAACTGGTTCAGGCTGGTTCAATCAGGGCTGAGGAAGCAACAAGAGAACAGACCGAAATTTTAAAAAAATGGGTGAACTGGAACAATAACCAGGACGGGAATAATTACGGATCGCAGACCTGCCAGAAACTTGATTTCTCAGGACAGTAACCAAATCCCGCAGAATAGGAAACAGCGGCGCCCGAAGCAAAGATGGCGGCCAGCGGCGCTGCTTTGAATGTGTGTTGCTTTCCGCAGTTTTCGCCAAAATCTATCTACCGCCTCAGGCTCCTGCGAGGGCCCACCACGCCTTTCCCAAGTCTCCCATTTTACATAATATTTTCCGTTCTGGGTATTGTTCTTGTTCAAAATTCGAGTTTCTTTCGCTTTTGAAGCTTTCGCTTCATTGGCCATGACTGTACCAGTTGGAACCGGTTCGCAGCCCTGACATAAAGCTGGGGCAATACTAGCATCCGCCTCCAGGGGCGCTGTGTGCCTTAGTGAGTTATATGGGCACAAGGTGCTCAGACCAGGGCCTGAAGAATGAGCCCTCCGGGAAACCTCAGCTAGTCTTCCTGCTGTTCTCACACTTGGGGATCCTGAGGTCCAGAGCCAGGGAGTGGTTTGATGAGGTCACACAGAGGAAAGGTGCGAGGCGGGACTCGAACCACAGAGGTATCCCGGGAGTGTCCCCACGTGGAGGGAAAGTCTTGTTCTGGAACCTGCAGGCACCATTCCAGCCCGTTCCAAGGAGGGACTGCTGTGTGAGGGGCTGGGGTGTGTCCACGTGTCTGGGCGCTGAAGGAGGCCAGGCCAGCCAGGCCAAATGAGGGTCCTCATAGCAATTATCCGCCTTTCAAAAAACCCACTGGAGTTGGTCTCCGTGACATCTCAGGCAATCCAAACTGCTGCAACAATTACAGGCCGCCTCTGACCTCCCTGGCTCTGCATGCAGCCTGCTGCGGCCGGAATGTGTCTCCTCAAAGGTGAGCCTAAGGACAAGTGCTGGGGGGAGGGCCCCCTGCCTGGGTGGTGGTCAGGGAGGTGGGCGGGAGGCCTTTTACTTTGTGCTGCCACCTGCTTGCTCTCCAAGATACCCAGCCACCAGCCGTGGTGGCGGGCACCTCCCTGACAGCCACCAGCTAAATGATGGCCTAGCCCAGGCAGGAATCAGAGCGGTGCTCCACGGCCGGGCCTCTAGGCACTCTGCCCAGCCGCAGACAATCTGTTTTCACAGGTGCTAGTGGCTCCAGGCCTCTCCTTTCTGACAGAGGGGTAAGGCATGTGTCAGAACCCGCCCCGGGTGACACAATCACTGTTTCAAATGGCGCCCAGCCTCCTCCCCTGCCAACACCGTGCTCCCCAGGGGGTGGCTCGGGCCATGAGGCACTGCTGCCCGCTTCTCTCTGACCTGTGCTGAGCTGAGCCGGGGGCAGCCTGGGGACATGGGGCTCTGTGTGTGGGACACGCTTACAGTGAGCCAGCTTCCACGTTGGGGCCCCTCACGTAGAAGGGAACCCTGATGTCAAACTCGTAGGGCATGGACTTCCCCTTCACCAGGCCAAACTGGCCGATGTGGTAGCCGTGGTCGGCGGTGTAGACGATGTAGGTGTTGTCCAACTCGCCCGTCTCCACCAGCAGGTTGTAAATCTGTAACACAGGCCAGAGGGGAGGGCACAGGTGAGGGGCACGGATGCCTGCCCACTTCCGACCCTGGGCTGACAAGGTGCTTGGGATTCCCAAAACAACTCCCTCCCCTCCTTCATGTCTTTGCTCAAATGTCACCTCGAGAGGGCTCTGGGACCATGCTATTTAAAATGATAGCCCCCCACCTCCTGTCACTACCTGTCACCCTGTCCCCCTCCCCTTTTCGTCCTCATAGGACTGTTCTCCTTTAATCAACTTAAATTGCTCTTGTTTGGTGCCCTGAGGTCGATTCCAACTCATAGGGACCCCTTGTGACAGAGCAGACCTGCCCCATAGGGTTTCCTGTCCCGTTTGTGGGAGCAGATCACCAGGGCTTCTCCCGTGGAGCTACTGTGTGGATTTGAACTGCCAGCTTCTCAGTTCACAGCCGAGCACTTCACTGTTGTGCCACTGGGGCTCCTTACCAACTTACACAGCCTACTTACTTGTTTATGCTTGACTGCCTGCACTCCAATGCAAGTCCCACTACAGCACGCATTTTGTCATTTTATCCACTGCAGTATCCCATGTGCTTTGGCACCCAATCAATTTTTGCCGAATGAATGAGTATGGTGCGTGGCCTGTGGCAGGAGTCTGTGATCTAGAACAGCACTACCCAACAGAACTTTCTAGAACGATGGAAATGTTCTATATCTATGCTGTCCAACAGAGCTTTCTGGGTTGATGATGGCAAGATTCTAAATCTGTGCTGCCAAAGATGGCAGCCATGTGGCTATTGAGTACTTGGAGAGTGGCTGGTGAAACCAAGAAACTGAATTTTTGAATTGCTTTTATTTTCAGTAAGTTAAATAGCCACGAGGCAATGACATGTGTTATATCCATACCGTGGGATATTATACAGCCATGAAAAGGAGGGAAGTACTGATTTGTGCTGCTACATGGATGAGCCTTGGAAACATGATGCTGAGTGAAAGAAACCAGTCACAGAGAACCACACATTGATCCTGTTTATAGGAAAGTCCAGAACAGGCAAATCTATGGGGATGGAAAGTTCCCTAGTGGTTGCCTAGGAGGGCCGGGGGAAGGAGCTCTGGTGGCATGGTGACTAAGGCATTTGACTGCTAACCAGAAGGTTGCCGGTTCAAACCTACCAGCTGCTCCGAGGAAGGAAGACTGGGCAATTTACTTCCATAAAGTTTCCCCACCTCAGAAACCCAGTGGAGGTCACTACGAGTCAGAATTGAGTTGATGGCAGTGAGTGAGGGCTAGGGGTAGGGGTGATGGCTAAGGGGTGTGGGCTTCTTTTTGGGGTGCTGAAAGATTCTGAAATTGTGGTGATGGTTGTACTTTGTGAATATACCCCTGAATTGTATACTTAAGGGGGTGGTAAATGCATGGTTTGTGAATTGTGAATTGTACAGTGTGTGAACTATGAATTATATGGTGTGTGAATTGTATTTCAATAGATCTTTGTTTTTCTTTTAATTAAATAGCCGTGTACAGTATTGGGCAGCACACATCGAGGCTATGACTCCTTAAGGCAGAGGTTTCTGTGTGCTTGCTGCTGCAAGCCCTTTACCAGTACCTTCCCGTTCTGCCTTCTGTTTTCATTCCTCCCCGGAAGATGGCTAATGGACAGGAAGGTTCAGGCCCAGTCATGGCTGAGGGGTCCCGGGCAACCCCTGCGAGGAGGGTGTGCGGGAAGCAGTGGGGGGTGGCCTACCGTCTCCATGGAGTCGTCCACGGACATGAGCGTCTGCAGACGCTTCCGCTGCAGCATGTTGGTGAATTCCATGTGGATGGGCTTCATGGGCCCTGTGTAACGCATGATCCAGTGCTTGTCCGGGTTGGGGGCGTAGTTGTAGCTTGGCGTGCTGTCGGGCAAACACACACACACGCACAGTGGTCAGGCCAGGGGGGCTGCGGCCACCTGACATGGTCTCTGCAGCCACTTTGGAGGAAGTGGACACTGGGTGTCGAGGGCCCTGCCTTTCTCCTCTTGGGGTGTGCATGTGGGGCAAGAACAGGTGCAGCATTAAATGAACCACAAAGTGAGAAGCTCAGCTCTTCTCATCCAGTGCAGGCCTTAATTTGGAGTTTTCTGCAACACTTCTGAATTTGCCTGTCTCCCTCTTTAAAGAAGAGGAAGGGCTTGTGTTTAAAGCCTTCAGCCAGCACCAACACCTAACTACAATTTAACAGCATCTCTGTGTTCACGATTATTTACTTTCCAGTTACCTTGGTTAATGGCACATGACAGTTTTTGGTGGTTAAAGTAAAAAGCCAAACCAAACCAAATCCAGTTGCCATGGGGTCAGTATGTGTGTCAGAGGAGAACTGGACTCCACTGGGTTTTCAAAATGGCGGACTGTTTTTCTTGGAAGGAGATCACCAGGCCTTTCTTCCAAGGTGCCTGTGGGCGGACTTGAACCGCCAACCTTCTGCTTAGCAGCCAAGTGTGCTGACAGTCTGTACCACCAGGGGCTCTGTGGTTAAGGCAGGAATACAAAATGTCCTTTTAAAATAGATTTAGGTTAAAGAAAAAGCAAACGGATTTAAAACTTAAGTAAATAATAATTAAGCCTATGTGGCCCGAGTTGTGGGCATGAAGTCCAGGTAAGTGTGTCTGGGATGTGCCACTTTTAAAATCTAATTGTCACAATTATCCTTCTAGTTTTGGTTTACTCTCGCATTTTACCAAAGAGGAAATGGAGGCCCAGAGAAGTCTGGGGATCGCCCAAGGCCTCTCTTGAGTGGGGAGCCACTGGGCCCCATAACTCCTACCAAGGGCCCAAATGTCATTACTGACGATGAATTATATCTTGTGATGGTCCCTGCCTGAGCTCTTACGTGTGAGAAGTTTGAAGGGAGACGTTTGAAGGGCTCATCTTATACTATCATTTGATTCTCACCACGGTGCCAGGAGCTGGCGCTGTCTTTATTCTCTGTGTGAGGCCCAGAGAGGTGAGCTAACTTGCCAAAGGCAGCCCTGGGGTTTGACCTCTCAGAGTCCACACTCCGGAGCTGACATGAGTGGCCTCTCTGCTGCATGACCACCAGCGTCTCCATGACACATGGGCCTGTCTGGAGACCCTCACATCTATGGGTGCTTCCACTGGAGGACTGAACAGCAGGCACACACATATCAGTTCAGTTCACAGCCTCAGACCTTACTGTTTCCAGAAGCTTCTAGGAGTGGATCACTCCATTCCAAACCAAGAGCAACGCTGTGCCTCAGGATCTGAGTGACTCTCAACCCCACTGCTTTTCATCAACAGGAAATGCTTTATTTAAAACTCCAACAGAAAATGAGGAACAGAATTTCAAATTCTCATGGAATCCAGACTTTCTGGAGCCATTGAGGCTGCTGACCCCTGAGGAAATATTGAAACTTTGAACTAAAACTTTCCCCTGAAGTCACCTTCGAACCAATAATAGTTTAGTCTCATTAGACAAGCAAGTCTACATGAAGCAGTGTGCTCTCTCAGAGAATTAGCCGTGTGATCAGACGGACCACAGCCACTCCAACAGACGGATGAGAAGCCGGGGGGCAGTGAGTCTGCGTTGCTGGTGAAGTGGCTGGAAAAGGTTGTGGAGAAAGGTGGCACACCTCAAAGACTGTAACAATGCCCCTGGCTTGTGTACACATGTAGGAATTGCTGAAGTGGTATGTGTTGTGTATATTTTCACCAAAAAATAAAAAAATGAAACCCCTTAACAGTGGGCGTTCCTTGCACTGGGTCAGATGATACTCAAGGGCCAGGTTCCCCTTGAATCTTACCTCTGCCCCAGTCGAAGCTGAGAATAAAGGGTGAGTTTCCATGGACTGAAGGTTTTCAAAATGGGTATTAGTGGGTGAGGGGCTTGGGAGGTGGATGAAGGGAGGAGAGAAAACTCCCCTGCTGCCTGCCCCTCAGGGCTCTAGGGGCTGTTATCCAAATGCTCTCTTGGTTGAAGTCGTGAGGACACGGCAGCTCTCGTCTCCTGACTGTGTGGAGTCTCCACTCTGAGACTGCGTCTGGACTTTGCTCGGTCCCTGGTGGGTGTGCATCCTCCCACTTCTGAGTCCACCGGCCCCTGCATCCTTCATTCCAAGAAACTCGGCTCTCCGTGTTGGACTCTCGGGCCTGACCCACGTGTAGGATATTCCCAGGGCTAAGCTCACTGCTGCCTCTGGGCCACTGAGGAACTGAAAGTGGGCTGCCCTTGGACAGTCACTGGGGCAGGAGAACTGTCCCACAGGCCCCAGGGGCCTGGACTCCAGGATACCCTTTCTGAATCTGTTAGAAGTTCAACAGTGAGGCAATATTGACAAGACTTGGATGGTCTCTGCCCTTTCTCTGAGGTTCTCTGGAGAAGGATCTAGAGGCAGGGGCACAGAGCCTGGATTCTTGGTGGGGTTTATGCCAGGTGCTGGCTTTCCAGGGTGCAACGCCACCCCAACTCAGCTGCCTCAGGAACAGAGATGTGGAATCCACACCTCCACAAAGGGGCTTGAAGGAGAACATGCCCTGTCTGCCGGGTGGGCGGGGGAAGGGCGCCTGCCCTCCGCATCCCCAGCCCCTCACCCAGGACCCTGATGGCCCCTTCCGGAGGCCAGCAGCACCAGCCTGGCTCTGAGGCCTTCTCCTGCGGGGTTAGTGTCTGTGTATGTCTGCATGTAAGTTTGTGTGTATGTGTCTGTGTATTTGTTTATCTGTGTGTTTGAGTGTCTGTGTGCTTGTATGTGTCTGTGTGTCTTTGTGACTCTGTATGTTTGTGTGTGTATATGTCTGTGTGTTTGCATGCCTCTGCGTGTGCACATGCTCGTATGCATATGCGTGTGTGCATACATGTCTGTGTGTCTGTGTTCAGGGGATAAGAGGGTCCTGGGCGAGTGGAGGGTAGGGCCACCACGGGGCAGCCGTCAGCCTCTGCCTGGCCTGCCCGGAGGAGAGCTAGGCGAGGACAGGCTTGGAGCGGTGGGGAGAGCGGGGAGGAGCCTCCCGGTGGAAAGATCCGGCACGTGGATCCACGATCCGACAAGCAGGCCCGGTCCCCTCTTCATCCCTCTTGACTGCCATAATTAAATAGCACAGCTGCAGAACTTTTTTTTTTTGGTTTTGTTTTGGAAATGATTATACCCCAGGGATAAGAAAGCCTTCCAAACACACAGCCCTAATAAGGCGAAGGTGGCTTCTCCCGGTAAGTAATCGCAGTTGCTCATTTTCAATTTCTGTAATTTTCATTTCAAAGAGAATAAGGAGCAGCTATGTCAAACAATTCCATCGCGAAACGCCCGGGGGCGGCTCAAGGTGAAGCCGGCTCTTCTCTTAAAGGGGACGCTGCAGCAGCCAGTGTCCACCCCAGGCTTGTCCCCGCGGTGGAACTGAGTCGGCCACACCCCCTCCTCAGTTGTAGTGGGGAGGGGACCGGCTGGCCTTTGGGGAGCAGGCGGATGCGGGGAGGCGGTGCTGCCGCCTGGGGGCCGGGGCAGCGCTGGAATGCGGTTCATCATCTCCTGTCAGATCCTCCTCCCCACGGACCAGGGATCAGAAGGTTAACACACCCGCCGTTCTCCTCTCTCTGCCACTCTGGGCTCCGTCAAAAAGTAATTACAGCGCGGGGGGATGAGAAGGGCAATGCATTCGGAGTGTAATGAGAATGACACACCCTGGAGCTTTGGGCCCTCTCCACACTGCCCTGTCCTTGTCCTCGGTGCAATGTCACAGCAAGGGCTGCTGAGCGTCTGGTCTCCCGTTACTGTGTGCGAGTTGGCTTGAGGGCAGAGCAATGCCGGAGGAATTTACCAGCCAGCTGGACAGGGGAGGACTGGAGGGGCCGGCTGAGAGAGGGGCCTGGTTGAATCCTGGCTCTGCTATTGACCAGCTGGACGACCTTGGGCAAGCTACCTCACCTTGCTGGACCTCAGTTTCCTCATCTGGATAATGGGAATAGGAGCTCTGGTAGCATAGTGCCTAAGGCACTTGACTGCTCACCAGAAGGCTGGCGGTTCAAACCCACCAGCCACTCCTCGGAAGGAAGGTTGGGCAATCCTACTTCTGTAGTGATACTGCCTCAGAAACCCAAGGAGGGGTCGCTATGAGTTGGGGCCGACTCGACGGCAAACAACAACAACAACAACAAGTGTGACAGGTAGCCTGTAAGAACCTGCCTCCTGGACATCAAGCTCAATTGGCATAACTACTACACAAAACATTGTTCCACCTCCTACTTTGGCAAGTAGCGACTGGGATCTTAAAAGCTTGCAAACTGCCATCTAGATGCAACGATGGGTCTCTCCTCATCCAGAGCAAAGAAGAATGAAGAAAAGCAAAGATTCATGGAAATAATTAGTCCTAGTGACTGGTCCACTGTGTGATCTTCAGCCTATACGACTATGAGACCAGAACTAGATGGTGCCCAGCTACCACTGTCAAGCACTTGGAGGGGGATCTATGTAGGAGACCCTGGATAGAGAGGGAGAACAATGTGGAACAAAACTCAAAACCATTTGGAAAAAAAAAGGGAGGGGACCAGGTTTGCTGGTCCGATAGAGCCTGGTGGAACCACTGAGACTATGGCCCCTAGCTGCCCTTCAGGTCTGGAATTGAACCCACCACACCTGTGGCTTCCAGCCAAACAAAAGACAGGCATAGGAGCTGAACATTTACCTGAGGTAGATACACTCCCTGGAGAGAACAATCATGGGAGAAAGAAGGGCTGTTTATGCACAAAGAGACAGCTCAGGAGGCAGGGGTGTGTGGAGGGATGGACACAGGGAGGAGGAGACTGTCTGGGGGATGTGGGAGGGAAGCTGTTGCATTGTGGTGAATTGGGGTCAATGTCATGAGACAGGGTGTGTGTGAAATGCTGTATGGAAAATGAATTTGCTCTGTGGATTTTCACCCAAATCACAATTAAAAAAAAAAAAAGAACCTGCCTCCTGGTATTTACATTCTGTGTGGTCCCCTCCCACACTGTGGGTGGATGTGGCCAACACACAAGGGATGGCATGCCACTGCCAACATTAGGTTATAAAAGACTACGGCTTTCATTTTGGCCCTCCTCTCTTGGATCATTTGCACGGGGAGAAGGCAGCTACCATGTTGTGAGGACACTCCAGCAGCCCTGAGGAGGCCCGTGCTGAGGAAGAGCCATGTGAGTGAGCCCCAGTCAAGCCTCAGACGGCAGCCGCCCCAACACGAGGGCTGCAACTTTGGGAGACCAGAGGCCTGGACTTTCCAGCCAAGCCTCTCCCAGGTTCCTGACTCACAGAAACTGTGAGACGGTAAGTGTTTGATGTTTTATGCTGCTAAGTTTTGGGGTAATTTGTTATGCGGCAATAGATAAAGATACACAACACCAAGGGTCACTGTGAGCCTTTGGGGATTTGATCCAATGTAAAGAGCTTAGTGGTGTTTCATTCTGCTGTGCATGGGGTTGCTATGAGTCGGAAATGACTCGTCGGCACCTAACAACAACAACAACAAAGAGCTTAGCACAGAGCCTGTCACATAGTCTGTAGCTCAGTAAGTGTTGGAGATATATCAGTAGTCCGGTCAAGTGATGGACCCTTCCTTGAAGAATATATTTAAGTGTATAAAATAAAATACAGAGAATTACCAAGCAAGCCTCTTATCCTGCACTGCAGTTCTACCCACAGACCTCTTGGAGGGGCGTGTGGATCACACGTTAAAAACTCTGGTCTCCTGCACTGGTTTGTCAGCCAGGCTGGCTGGGATGGTGTTCCAGTTACGCCCAAGATGAGCAGTGTGTTCTTAGGGTCTTTAGAGGAAGAAGGGTAGAGAGAATAGGATACAGCTATGCCATCACCATCCTGCAGCCTGTCTATCCCACCCCCACGCCAACCAGGAGTTCTGCCACTCAGGCTCGGAGGCTTACATATGCTGGGATGCGTTGGGGAAGAGGCGTGAGTACTGGGGGGCAGAGTCCTCAGGACCGTGAGGGGCCGCATGGCTGATGACCATCAGGACCGGCCTGTGTGGGTACATCTTCTTGGACGTGCGGAAGAAGCTCACGCTGTCATTGGTGATGAGGTCAGTGAGGTAATCCTGCGGGTGGGGAGAGACAGGGAGATGGTGTGAGAAGACGTGCCCTCATCCTGAGCAGCTGCTGTGTGCCAGGCTCTGTGCTAGGCATCAGGGACACAGCAGACAGAACAGACACACTCTCTGCCCTCGTGGAGCTTGTGGTCCAGGGACGAGGTGGACAATAAACAAATAAGCAGGTAAACAATAAGGACTGTTACATGGTGCTAGGTGCCATGGAGAAAAATAACAGAAGGGGTTAGGGAGGACAGAAGAGGAATTTCAATGTGTCATCCACACATAACAAATGTTAATAATAATAACTATCACTACTGAGTACTCATGGTGGGCCACATGATCCTAAAAGGCAGACACAATGACAATCCCCATTTGCTAGAACAGAAAATTTAGGCACAGAGAAGTTATGTGAAATGTCCAGTGTTGTACAGCCAGTAAATGTTGAAGCCAGGACTCCTGAGTTTTGGTTCTTAAGTCTGAAGTCTTCTCAAGGCCCGCGATACCATGGTGTAGGGTAAGTACTCCCTACTTTCCTTGAGCACTATTTTTGGTTGGAAGAAGAGGAGCAGCAGACAAGCATGTAAACAAAGAAACCTGATATGCGTGACAGGGTGTGATAGACGAGGGAAGTAAATCAGGGAGATGGAGCAAAGAGTAACTGGGAGCTGAGGTGGGTGGCATACTTTAGCTGGGGCAGCCAGGGAGGGCCTCTCTGAGGAGGTGACATTTGAACTGTGATACGAATGATGAGAAGGGGAGCCAACCTGGAAAGATCTAGATCATTGGTTTTCAACCTCAGTTGTCCACTTGAGTCCCCTGGGCAGCTTTACTGATGCCTGGGCCCCTCCTTAGAGATTCTGATTTGATTGGTCTGTGGTCCAGTCTGGGCATTAGATTTTCAAAAGCTCAGGTGATTCCAGTGTGCAACCAGGATGGAGCAGCACTGCTCTAGAGGAAGAGTTCCAGGCAGAACAGCAACAGCAAGGGTTGCAAAGCAGGAATGACTCTGCCATGTGTTCAAGGGACAGAAAGAGGGCAGGGTGAAACTTCAGGAGATGAAACGTGGGGACAAAAGCATAAACAACACTACCATGCAGGGGTGTCATTGGAAAAGTCAGGATCCCACTTAAATATGGGGCAAGAGCAGAGAAGAACTGGAGGAAAAGTCATGGCCAGAAATTAATGGCTTTAAAAGCTCAGCGGGGAAGCTATGTTTGCTTACAGCTCTTGAAGGTAATGAATTCTTGAAATTTACCCTCTGCTTCTTAGAAGCAAATATGTTCAAAACTACCATTTTCAAAAAGAGGTAATACTATTTGAGAAAACAAATGGTGATGAAGAGGGTGAAGAAGCTTCTGCCCTGAAGTACTACCGATGGACCCATACGTCTACAGACACACTCCTGAAGGTATGCTCATATGCCCTATCTCTATGTACAAGGGTGGTCACTGAAGTATTATTTGTTGTTAGGTGCCATCGAGTCGCTTCTGACTCATAGCGACCCTATGCAGAGCAGATGAAACATCGCCTGGTCCCGCACCAGCTCCACAATCCTTGCTATACTTGAGCCCAGCCACTGTGTCAGTCCATTTCGTTGAGGGCCTTCCCCTCTTTCACTGAACCTCCACTTTATCAAGATGACATCCTTCTCCAGGGAATGGTCCCTTCTGACAACATAACCAAAGTAGGTAAGATGAAGTCTGGCCGTCTTGCCTCCAGAGAGCACTCTGGCTGCACTTCCTCCAGGACAGATTTGTTAGTTCATTTAGCAGTCCATGGCACTTTCAGCATTCTTCGCCACCACCACAACTCACAAGCATCAACTCTTCTTCGGTCTTCTGTACTCATTGTCCAGCTCTCAAATGCATACCAGGTAACTGAAAATACCATGGCTTGTGTCAGGTGCACCTTAGTCCTCAAGGAGATATCCTTGCTCCTCAGCACTTGAAAGAGGTCTTTTGCAGCTGATTTGCCCAGTGCTATACATTGTCTGATGTCCTGACTGCTCCTTCCCTTGGCATCGATTGTAGAAACAAGCAATGTGAAGTCTTTGACAACTCCAATCTTTTCTCCATTTATCATGATGTTGCTTATAGGTCCAGTTGTGAGAACTTTTGTTTTCTTTATATTGAGATGTAATCCTTACTGCAGACTGTATTCTTCAATCTTCATCAATAAGTGCTTTAAGTCATCCTCACTTTCAGCAAAGTTGTGTCGTCAGTGTATCGCATGTTGTTAATGATTCTTCCTACAATCTCGATGCCATGTTCTTCTGCATATATTCCAGCTTTTTGGATTATTTGATCAGCATATAGATTAAATAAGTATGGTGAAAGGATACAACCCTGACACTCCCTTCTTGATTTTAAACCATGCAGTGTCCCCTCGTTCCGTTTGAACAACAGCCTCTTGGTCTGTGTACAGGCACCTCATGAGTACAATTAAGTGTTCTGGAATTCTCATTTTTCTCAGTGTTACCCATAATTTGTTATGATCCACACAATCAAATGCCTTTACATAGTCAATAAAACATAAGTAAACATCTTTCTGGTATTCTTTGCTTTGAGCCAAGATTCATCTGACATCAGCAATGATATCCCTCATTCCACATCCTCTTCTGAATCCAGCTTGTATTTCTGGAAGTTCTCTGTCAATATATTGCTGCAACTGTTTTTGAATTATCTTCAGTAAGATTTTACTTGTGTGTGATATTAATGATATTGTTTGAAAATTTCCACATTCTGTGGGATGAGACCACCTTTCTTTGGAATGGGTACAAATATGGATCTCTTCCGGTCAATTGGCCAGGTAAGTGTCTTCCAAATCTCTTGGCATAACTGAGTGAGTGCCTCCAGTGGGCCATCCATTTGTTGAAACATCTCAATAGGTATTCCGTCAATTCCTGGCATCTTGTTCTTTGCCAATTCCTTCAGTGCAGCTTCAACTTCTTCCTTCAACACCATTGGTTCTTGATCATATGCCACCTCCTGAAATGGATGAAGATCGACCAGGTCCTTTTGGTACAATGACTCTGTGTATTCCTTCCATCTTCTTCTTCTTCTTCTTTTTATTTTATTTTAAGAGCTTGTTTTACATTGAACGTAACGCGTACATTTAGTTTCATTCCCCATTCACCATGTCCAACCCTAACTCAGTCTCCTCCCCTCTCTACCCTGTAACTCTCCTCTCTTCCATCTTCTTTTGATGCTTCCTGTGGCATAGTCCCTAAGGCATTTGACTGCTGACCAGAAGGCTGGTGGTTCAAACCCACCAGCCACTTCTCGGAAGGAAGGTTGGGAAATCTACTTCTGTAGTGATACTGCTTTGGAAACTCAAGGAGGGGTCACTATGAGTCGGAGCCGACTCCACGGCAGTGCGTTTGGTTTTTGGTTTGGCATCATTCAATATTTTACCCATAGAATCTTTCAATATTGCAATAGGAGGCTTAAATTTTTTCCTCAGTTCTTTCAGCTTTATAAAACAAAAATACACTACAGTTCCCAGCAAGAGATGGTTAATTAACTTTCACTGCTTCCATACTACACAATGGCACACATAGTTAAGAAGACAGTGGACCTGTAGTTACTGACATGGAAAGTTGTTCAAGATATTGTTAGGGAAAGGGGAAAGAGCATGCTATATGGTCAAACCCAGAAACAGTCGATTTTCATTTGTGTGTGTGGGTGTGGGGGGGGCGGGGGAGCCAGTGCAGAGGAAAAGTGAAGCCCCAACCTCATATATTTTTGAGTACCAAGGAAAAATCTAGAAGGACAGATAATCAAAGTGTTAACCGGGGACTGGGATAAGAGGAGAGACGCAGAAAAAAGTCACTGGTTGCTTTATATACTTTTCCTTGAAAGTGTTTTAAAATTAACTTTGGGATAAAAAAGGTTTCAAAAAGGGATTATTGTAGGACCTATTACATTAATGTAGTATCACATATGACATTGTTGAACTTATTACCTAAAACTAAAAGTTGCCGCTATAGTTGATGGGACATGATTTAAGGGTGTTAGAAAAGTTCTTAAAATGATGTAACTAATTACATCATTAATGTGTGACAGAGGGTTTCTAGGCCATAATCTTTATGGGGTCACATCACCAGGTCTTTCTCCAACAGAGCTGCTGGGTGGGTCGCAACCACCAGCCTTCCTCATTTGCTAGAACAAATGGGTCGAGTGGATCTAAAAAATGGTGCAAAGTTCTCTTGGATAAAGAGGAGGGGTTCCTGTTCTGATAGAAAGCTGGTGATCAGGGCCTCAAGTGGATGAATCAGGAAAAGTCATTGAGAACGTACTGTCCAAGAGGGTGGGCCTCACCTGTTGAAACTTGTTTCTGGCCAGCAGGGTGGGTGGGTCCACTTTATTTATTTATTTAAATGTTTATGGTTTGTTTTGATCTCATTCGCTATGAGTCCAAATAGACTCAATGTGTAAGGATAAATATATATGTTTAGTATTTTTTAGTAGGTAATACTAAATGTATATATTTATACTTATGCCATGGAGTTGATTTCTGGCTCATAGCGACCCTCATTGGGTTTCCAAGGCTGCCTTATCTGTCTTCCACAGAGTGACTGGTGGGTTTGAACCACCGACCTTTTGGTTAGCAGCCAAATGCCTTAACCACTCCAGCACTAGAGCTCCACATAAATATATCAAAGTCCAGAAGTTACGAAAGGGTACACAGGGACAGTTTTTCCATTCTTGCCCCAAAGCCATCCAGCATCAGCCCCACCCCAGGAAAGCAGCGTGGCCACTTTCTCAGGCACCCTCCCTGAGGTGTCTGCGTCCATACAAGCGTCTGTGCACTTTCACCTTTTTCCCGTACCCGCAGGGGGCTTTTTCCCATAGATAGAGTGTCTTGGAGTTCCTATGCATCAGTGAAGACTATGGTCATCCTTTCCTGGCTGCACTGTAGTTCACTGGGCAGGGCACTCTTTATTTAACGAGTCTCTTTATTCTTTTTTTGTTTCATTTCTTTTTTTCATAATAAACTCATCTTTA